GCTCTGCGGGCTGTCAGCGCTGTCGCAGCCTGAGCAGCTAAAGCAGCCGAAGCAGCCTTCAGGCTGTAAACAGCATTTTTATTTGTTACACAACATGGGGGGGAGGGTTAATGTGGGCATTTAAAATACATAAACCTTTAAAATTATTAAACCAATAGTGAAATTAAACGGAAACTTTTCTTAAAATTACATCAGTTCTCATAAAATTAATAATCCACAAGGTTAGATAAAACTCAGTGGTCAGCCAATTCTTTCTGGTGATTATATCTGTTGTGGTCGATTAGTCCATGACTCGCTGTTCTTGACGTTTCTCACCATTGTGTTTCTTTTCTTCTTGCCCTCCTATTAACCTTAAACTTTATTACTACCAGCAAGCATAAATTATATGTCTGACTCAAAATTGAGATGGCATCGATTGTGGTTATAAAGTGTTAAACAAACCTTATATATATATTTAACTTTGATTTAATGATTCTCATATTTCTATAGGCATGAACCTGTTGTTCATTTGGAAAAGGAATAAAGGATATTTGAACAGCTTTATCATGTGTGTACTTAATATAATGGCTGTGTGGCCCAATGTAAAGTGTCAAAGTGCACAGCACCGTCCCTCACAAAACCAGGTGCATTCAAAATTCTATCTGTAATCTTTATCTTTAGGAGGGAAAGTTGTGCATCATATGTTTTTGTCCCAATATCTTACTANGGCCAGTTGTTGGACTTTATCCTGAGGTAAATGTAGGTTTGGTAAATGTAGAAGGACCCTCGTACATTGGACAGCTCCCCACTGACAAAGACCACTGCCAGGCACTCCTGCAGTGGAAGTGGGCATGGGAACCTGCTAAGTGCCAGGGAGTAGGCTGAGTGCTTTCCCTGCCTCCCTCCCAACCACAAGCCTGGAAAGTAGGCCCCTGGATCCCCCATATGTGCAGGTGCCAGAGACCAGCTCCAGTCGAGTTGGGGGCCCTTGAAAAAGGGATGAGGAGTTGGCAAAAATAACAAACACAGGCAGAATCCTCGGTTCCTCTGAAGCACATTCTCGCTCTGCGGGCTGTCAGCGCTGTCGCAGCCTGAGCAGCTAAAGCAGCCGAAGCAGCCTTCATGCTGAAAACAGCATTTTAATTTGTTATACAACATGGGGGGGAGGGTTAATGTGGGCATTTTAAATACATAAACCTTTAAAATTATTAAACCAATAGTTAAACGGAAATTTTTCTTAAAATTATGTCAGTTCTCATAAAATTAATAATCCACAAGGTTAGATAAAACTCAGTGGTCAGCCAATTCTTTCTGGTGATTATATCTGTTGTGGTCGATTAGTCCATGACTCGCTGTTCTTGACGTTTCTCACCATTGTGTTTCTTTTCTTCTTGCCCTCCTATTAACCTTAAACTTTATTACTGCCAGCAAGCATAAATTATATGTCTGACTCAAAATTGAGATGGCAGCGATTGTGGTTATAAAGTGTTAAACAAACCTTATATATATATTTAACTTTGATTTAATGAT